TTCCCGAGGGGGGATCTGGGAGTCCTTTTTGGTAACAGAATGGGCGGTGGCCTGTGGCCGTCCTCTGTCCTGCACCTGCTCAGGGTCAGCGCACCTGCTCGGACACAAGGGGGAGGAGCCAGCCCCTCTTGGGATGGGGACCCTTGACCCTGACCCTTGACCCTGACCCTTGACCCTGACCCTTGAGGAGCCCAAGGGACCGCGTCAGAGCCCTGTGCTGTTGAGCCCGCAGCGGCGGCGTTCATGCCCTGCTCTGCAAGGGCCCGGCCACCCTCCAGCCCACGGGCGAGCCTGTGCTTGCTGCTTCCAGTTGACAAAGGTGCCTCACATCGGTCCTCGAGTATAATGATGGGACATGATTCCTGTTTGCAGACACCCACTGAGCGCCCCACTTCGCCTCCGTTATCGGTGGTTATCACAGCAGACCAGCGAGGCGGGTGTCATTGTCCCCACTTACAAAGGGGAGCCACGGCTCAGAGAAGGTGCATTTGCCCAGGGTCACACAGCCGTCGCTAGCGGGGCTGGGGGGCAGGATTATCCTCAGACGCAGGCAAGGGGCTGCGCTGGGTCCTGTGCTTCCGAGAGCCCAGCTCCGCTGCTTCCGGGCCTGCGTGGGCCCCTTGCTGGGTTCCTGCTTCTGCGGTATGGACCGTGCCGCAGCGCTCACAGCCCCAGCCCGGGGGCAGGCCGGGGGCGTGGTGTCCGTAGGGGCTGTGGACAGAGCTCACACGTGGTGGAAGAGTCCACATGCATGTGCAAAAGGCCTCTCACGTGGCTGGATGGAGTGGAGCGGGGAAGGGAGGGGCAGGCAAATGGGACACCCCTGTGCCGCCACCTCCCCACCCAGAGCCCCAAGAGCTGAGGATTCCAAGCTTGAACTTGATAATAGATCCCTTACAAAGGTCTCTTGGTCAAAGTAGCTTGATGGAACGTTTCATTTCACAGCTGTGACTTGATTTGTCGTCTTTAAATATGTCGATGTGCGAGCAGCCTGTCTCCTGACCCAGGTCTCAGCCTCCCTTGCACTCTGCTGTCTGCTGTGCTACCGGGGTGCCCTGGGGTGTGGAGCCAGGAGGGACAAACCTGGCCTCCCTAGGCAGGGACCAAGGTTTTCTTGGGACTCTGGTGAAAGCCACAAGCAGTAACAACCTATAGCTGCACCGTGGGCAGCACTAAGGGAATAGTTGCATGAATTTTCCTTTCTTGGGTATAGTAGAGTGTGGCCAGAATTCTCAGGTTAAGGAATCGTGCTCTCAACAGACTGGGCATCTGGCCTGCTAGGGGTTGGGGGACCCTCTCTCCTACCTGCAGTCGCCTCCGTGACCACACTCTCTCCACCTCCCTGCAGTTCCCCACGGGGGTCAGAGGATGTGGGGAGAGCCCACCCCTCACTGAGCTGCCTCCCCTAGGTATTTCCTCCCTCTTCCTGAGGTCCTCCTCACTGCCAGGGCTGCTCTAGCACATTCCACTCTGAACTCACTGACCCCTGGGCTCCTCTTCCTGAGGACTTGGCATTTGCGCAGAGGATTCCAGATCCCTCTGTGAGCGGCAGAGTTTCTCTCCCGTGGTGGGATGCCAAGCAGTGGGGGTGATGGGTCAGACACTTTCATTACTAAGTTCATCCAAAGGCCACTGGTTATTGTCTTTTTCACAGTCAACAAATATTTTTCTCATGTGGTCATGTGAGTGTGTCAATGTGCAAAATTATGTGCGTACCTTTGCACGAGTATGCACAGGTGTGCATTTGTGCATATGCATATGGAGACTCGCAGGTACTGAGCCCCGCACGAGGTATAGCCTGCCTGTGTTTTTCCAGGTCTGGCCCCATCAGCCCAGCACCTCCACAGCCAGATCATTCCAGAGCCAAGACAGGATTCTGGGCTTGTGGGCCCTGAGACCCTCAGGCCCTGCGTGCGGCTGGTTGCAGCTGGCACCGCCACACATGGAGACGTAGCAGGACCACAAGAATGTGGCAGTTACGAGCCTTGCAGGGCAGTAACTTCTAGGGGTTTTGCAAACAGCCTCAGTTTCCAAGGAGCCACTGCAGGGCTGTTTTTAATGAGCCATCGCAGCTGACTTCTGTCACCCCTGAATCCCCTTTCTGACTCTCCAGCCCTGCCCTGGTTTCCTTCTGCAAGGGGCCTTGCGCAAGCCAGCGATCCTCTCATAGAAAAAGGCCCTGACCATGGGGCAGCTCTCTGTGTTTCATTCATACTCAGCCATTTCACCAATCTTGAGTCTTCTTGATCCATTTTCACCCGAACGAAGCCTTGGCAGGCCCACGTCTAACAGACTCCTAGACAAGAGCTGCACCCGCTTTCCTTACTCGCGCTGTTTGCTGAGACTCCCGGCCAGCAGAGGAGAGATGAATGCCAAACGGGCAATCTACCTACGCATTGGCAGTGCCACCCCGAGGTCTGGAGGTGGGGAAACTGGTCAGAGTGAGTGGCTGGGTTGACCGGCTGATGTTGCCCTCTCCCTTCCTTGGCTGTGTAGGGAAGAAAATTGAGTCCTCAGTGGCCATCCACCGGGCCAGGGTCTGAGCCGTGAATCCTGGCTTTTTCCTTCCGCATGTTCCCTTGGGCCGCTGACTTCAGTCTCCAGGCCTATTAAACACTTTGACACATCTATCCACCCGCTCCCTTCCCCAGCCCTGGCTCTACACCCGCAAGGGGAGTAGCAGTTGGCCACAGACAGAGTGGAGCTCACACAGATGCAGGTTTGCAGCCAGGCTGCGTACTGACAAGCATGGCTGTCAAGGACAAGCTACTTGATCTTTTTAAGCCTTAGTTTTCTTGTCCATAAAATGGGATTAGTGGTAATTCTCTCTCGGGGTGGTATTAAGTGAATACTCATGTAAAAACTTGTGTGTGGCTTGGCATACAACAGGTGCTCAATAAATGGTACTTGTTACTTCCACCAACCGCACTGCCTACCCCCAACAGCAGCAGCGGCAACACCATCCTGTCGGCAGTGTGGATGGGCATGGGTTCCCGTGCCAGACCAGCCCTCTCTATGCGGGAGAGAGAAGAGTGGAGAATGAAAGGAGCAAATGAGGAGGGAAAGAAATGGCACATGGCCACTTCTAGAAGTCCAGCCTGGAGCAGGAACTGGAGCCTTGGACCATCCTATAACAACAGACCAGGTGGCTCACTTGGCCCCAGATCTCCAGTCCCAGAACAACCACCCTCTAACCCTATTCAGATTCATGTCCTTCATTTACGCTAGAATGTTCTAGAATCTATGGGGTGTGTTGGGAACAGCTCTGGAGCTTTGGGGCCAGGAAGACCTAGGTCCAAATCCCAGATCTATCACTTACCAGCAAGGTGAGTTTGGTCAAGTCACTTAATTTCTCCAAGCCTCGGTTTCCTCCTCTGAAAAGTGGTTATAGCAGTTTCTACCTCAGAGGTTTCCTGGGTCATATAAATGGATCACAGATGCCTAGTGCCCAGTGTGCTGCTTGACACATAGGAGGGTCATGTCCCAGTAGTTTTCCCTACCTCCCACCCCACTGGCCCATCTTGTGCTCAGAAGGGTCTGAGTCTCCCAGCATCGGGCTGACACTTCATGCTTTGTCCTTAAGAGCCCTGGGCTTCCTGAGAAGTCCTGAGATGAAGATAGAGACCGAGTTTGAGTAGCTGAGTGAGTTTGACCCTCGGTGCCATGTGACTTTGCCACAGTTCTTTGCTAGCTTGGAGCCTTAATGTCCACATCTGTAAAATAGAGATAGTAATCTTTGCATTTTAGGGTTGTGAAGATTGAATGAGATGTTGCATGAAGAGTGTCTGGCACACAGTAGGGGCTCAGCAAGTGTAGCTGCTGGTATCTGTTGTGAGTATTGCTAATGTTACCCTTGTTAAACAATTCCCCCTTTCTTAGTTTCTTGGAGAGTATTTGGTTTCCAAGGCTACAGCATCTCAGCCAAATGCCGATGGCAGGAGGAGTCTGCTCCAGCCCGGCCACCTCTGGCTGCATCTAGAAAGGAGCTGGCATTTTGCATTGGTCATGCTTGCAGGCTGGGCTGATGTGGCATGTGTCCCAGTGAGTCACCTCGTGGCGTCAGAGCTGTCAGGGCACACTGAGAATGGTTTCTGGAACTCAGATGCATCTAGTTCCACCAGGAATTGTCCAGGGATTAATTGCTGCCTGTTGCCTGGGAGTCCCCTCAAGTTTCTGGGATGCTCTGGGTGGGCATCTCCCTGGTCAGACTTGAGCCTCCGGCCCCTTTGTTCCAGAATTTATCTTCAGCCATCTGTCGCAGGGTGAACCTAACAGGCTGCAAGACCCGAATGCGAGTCCTGCTCCTGTCATTTACCAGCAGTGCACACGGGGACAATTCGACTCCCTTCTCTGCCCCTCAGCTTCCCCCTGGGGGACATAATGACCCTGACTGCTTATTATGTTGGCAGACTATTGCGAGACTCTCGAAGGGTCCAGTGAGATCATGTTTGGAGAAGCCACACGTGACCCTAAAATGATATCGATAGGAAAAAAATCAGAAACTCAGTCCTATGTAACCTTAGGCACTGTCTCCCCCTCTCTGGTTTTGATTTTCTTGCCTGTAAAAGGAAGAGTTTGGGTTGGATTGGCATTCCCAGAGTGATGACTCATGAAAGAAAAGGTTCCGTGTTTAAATAAATTCAGTAAAGGCTACGTTGTTATCCTCCTCGTGGTGTGTCACAGCGAGCACTTGTATATCAAGAGCTAGGAGAAGCCTGCAAGAAACAAACCTCTTTAGCTTTGCTTAACCCAGATGAATGATACTATGCTACTAATTTGACCACAGGACATCATTATTATGATGCTCATTATTACTACTACTATACTTACTGTTACTGTTAGGATTATTTGTATTAATTGCTCTGCACAACTCTATTTACCTGCCCCAAAACAGTCCTTGGAAAACGGCCAGGTGAGCAGATGACTCAGCGCAGACACTGATCCAAGCACTCTGAGGGGCAGGGGTCTAGTGTGTCACGCTCTGCCTCTGTGTCCTCCAGGTGCCTTCCTGATCCCCTACACTCTGTTCCTCATCATCGCAGGGATGCCCCTGTTCTACATGGAGCTGGCGCTGGGACAGTACAACCGGGAAGGGGCAGCCACCGTGTGGAAGATCTGCCCATTCTTCAAAGGTAAAAAAGGGGCCAGGGAGAAGTCAATGGTTGTTCAAAAAGGCTTCCCTGTTGGCCCTGGGGAATTGGCACCAAAGGTGAGATCTGAGATTGACCTCCTCTCTTATGGGATTCACAGATATTGACAAGGTCAAGAGTGTCCACCATCCAAAGTTACATGGAGAACATTTGGTATGCCAGGAATAGCATTAGCAGATAGAGTCTGGAAACCTGAGTTCCAGTCCAGGCTATACCAGCTGAATGACCAGAGTCTGTTTTCCTAAACAGGAAATTCTTACAAAAGTGTCAGAAGTACCCAGCACACATATCACTATTCTCCCTTCTTGCTCCCATGGCAGACATGATAAATTGATCATGGATCTTTATGAGCTCAGCCAGAAAGCAGACTCAATCCTTAATACAACAGCCACAACTAATCGTTTGCAGCCTGGATATAAGATGAAGCCTGTTTGCATTCCGGCCTATGAGCACATCTGCAGAGAGTAGCCATAGCAACTCCCATTTCTTGGCCCCTATGGAGCTGGGAGAAGGGCATGGAGTAAGACGTAGTCTCTGTCAAGCACTGGTTAGAGAACTAGGCCTACATGGCGATGAGGGCTAGGATGACTCCCATGAGCCTCTGCTTAGCTGGCAGGTGTATCCTGAGTACCTTCTGTGTACTCAGTCCTGTGGGAGATACAGGCTGATATCTTATAAGACATGTACTAGTTAAGATTTTCTATTGTTTAATTGCCAACTCAAACTGGCTTTAATATTAATATAAGAGGGAATTTATTGGCTTATGTTATGGTAAAGTTCAGGGGCTGTAGCTTCAGGTGTAGCTAGATCCAGGTGCCCAAATAGTGTTGCCTGGGATCTGTCTCTCTCTTTTCTTCCGTGTCATCAGTCTTGGGTACATTCTTCTTAAGTGCTTGTAAAGGTGGCCATCAGCAACCCTAGGCTTGAAATTCTACCAAGTTTAACAGAGACCAAAAACAAAAGCACAAACAAATAAACAACAAAAACCTTTATATATTCCTCACTTCATTAAAGGTCCCAGAGAAGACTATCATTGGTTTGACTTGAGTCACGTGCCCATCTATTAACCAATCTCTATGGCTATGGGGAAGCACTACTCTGATTGGCCAGGCCTGCATCATGTGATCAAGGAAGGAGGGGAGGATTAGCTTCATCCAAACCTCACAGGCTAAGAATTGTTTAAGACTAATCCCTTAAAGCAATACTTGGCAGGCAAAAAAATATGTCTATGTCTACTCTAGGCAAAAATCGTAGAACTAGCCCTAAAGGAGCTTCTGATGCTTTCAGGAATGTGATATTGGCACACAGCAGGGGGCTGAGAATAGGGCCCAGGAAACATACTGGGCTGAAGTTCTGATAGGGGAGTGCTTGCTTGGGGTTCCCTGGGAACCAGATCCTGAGACAAGGATTTGAGTGCAAGGAGTTATTTGGGAGGGGATCCCAGAAAGCAGCAGTTGGAGATAGGGAGGGGGAGGCAGTCCATAGAGGGTGTGTTGTCAGGTCAGTTCCACCAGGAGTGAGGAGCTCAGGGCACTGGCGGAGAGTGTGCAACACGCCTCGGAGTTATCCTGCCTTAGGGGGAGGGAGCTGGGATACTTACCCCCCAAATCCCTCACATAGCTGCTCCCTGGGGACATTAGGTCACCTTTCTGATGAGCAGGCAGGGGGGTGTCCAGTGAGAAGAGAGAGCCCTAAGGCAGAGGGATGGTAGGTGCCTACAGAATGTGGGCGGGGCTCTGACAATCCGCTACGGAAAAAGAGAAACAGGGGGTCAGGAGTGCAGTGGTTGGAGCCAACTCCCCAGGAGAGGGAGCTCTGGGGTTGGGCCCTGGGAAGCCACTGGCTGACTCCTCCGTCCCCATCCAGGAGTCGGCTATGCCGTGATCCTAATCGCCCTCTACGTCGGCTTCTACTACAACGTCATCATTGCCTGGTCGCTGTACTACCTCTTCTCCTCTTTCACCCTCAATCTGCCCTGGACTGACTGTGGCCATGCCTGGAACAGCCCCAACTGCACCGACCCCAAGCTCCTCAACGGCTCTGTGCTGGGCAACCACACCAAGTACTCCAAGTACAAGTTCACGCCGGCGGCAGAGTTTTACGAGTAAGTCACGGACCCCTCATCCTGGGCCTGTTGAGGCCCGTGCTGGGCATGAGCTGAGCCAAACACTAAAGGAAAACCACAAAGAGAGGAAGGGGCAAACGCCAGTCAGCACGTTAATGTTTACGAGGCAGCCACAGGCCTGGCGCTGGGCTAGGAGCTGAGGACACAGCCCTGGACGAGGCAGTTTGAGCAGCTCGTGTTCTGGGGCAGGAGAGGGGAGGCAGGGAGGTATCGCACAAGTAAACAGAGAAACCAGAGACTTTGGAGTGTGCGTGGCCCGCAGGGAACACAGCACATTGGAGAGTGCAATTGCTCGTAAGGAACTGGAACCACGTATGTGGGAGAAACCGATTGCAGAGGGGAAGGAACTTCGTCTCAGTGGTCAGGGAAGGCCTCTCTGAGGAGGTGACGTAGGAACTAATGAAGTCAGTGCAGGGAACATCTCGGGGTTCAGCGACAGGTGCGGAACTGCAATTTGAACCCGAGTCAATGCGATCCTGAAGCTGTCCTCTGACCCACGCTGGGCTACTGTCTGTCTGGGGCTTCCACTGGGGAAAGCAGACAGAGAGTATGAGTGACATTCAACAGGTGGGAAGTGGCCAGCGACATGCGGCTTCGGGGAATTATCTGGACGAAGTGTGCATGAGAGGCACTGAACAGTGGTAGCAGACAGACATCGTTAAAAAACAAAAATAAGAAAGAAACTTTTATGTAGAAATAATTTTATACATAGAAAAGTTGTAAAAATAATATATACTCATCACCCAACTGTACCTTCTATAACCGTGGGACACTTTTGAAACCAGAAAATTAACATTGATATACTCTTAGCTAATCTACTACAGACCTTATTTGAATTTCACCTGTTTTCCCACTAATGTCCTTTCCTGGTATTGAGTTGTCAGTTCTCTCCTCTCCATATTCTCCAACCTGTGAGAGTTCTTTGGTCTTTCCTTGAGCTTCATGACCTTGACACTTTTGAAGAAGATTATTGGCCAGTTATTCTGTGAACTATCTCTCCATTTGGGTTTGTTTGTTGTTTTCTCACAATTAGACCAAGGTCATGCATTTTTGGCAAGAATACCATAGACATGACGTCTTTCTCAGCGCATCCTGTAGGGGACGCAGTGTCAATCTGACTCATTACTTGTGATGTTAACCTTGAACGCTCGGCTAAGTTGGAGTCTGCCAGTAATTTTCCTTTTTTAATGAACAGGTACCTGTTGGGGAGATGCTAAGAGGGTGTGTAAATATCTAGATTATCGTTATACTTTTGCCCACATGTCTCAGCAGCCATTGGTGGATTCTTGCAAAGATTATTATGATAGTGTTTGTCTAATTGTGATTTTCTATTTCCATCATTCCGTCTAAATTAATTAATGGGAATTCTTCTGTAAGGAAGAGTTGGCCCTTCCTCCTGTTTATTTATTCAATTATTCATTTATATCAGTATGAGCTCGGGGATATTTATTTTATTCCGTGCTCTTAATCCATAACCATTGTTGTTTAATTTGTTGTTCCCCTGAATCTTCTCAGCCTTTTAAGTCCTTGAGCAGGTGACAGCAGGCTCGTTCTCAGCCACCTAATTTAAAATGTATATATGAGGCCGGGCGTGGTGGCTCACGCCTGTAATCCTAGCTCTCTGGGAGGCCGAGGCGGGC